TCCGCTCGTGCGGTGCCGGTAGACATTGACTGCCAGGCGTCACAAGGGTTCGGGGCTTTGCGCTGAGTGAGGAGTGGCGGTGGGGAGTTTTGAGAGTCCAGTTGACGTGGTATGACCTGGAACTGAGTGACGTGGTGGGACTTCCACTGTAGTTCTCCCGTGGTTTGCTCAGCTAGGTTACGAGCCCTCTGAGGACAGGGTTAGATTGTACCTGGCTCTGTATGTGCCATAGTGTTTGCTATGGACTAGGTTTCAGCTGGCAAAATGTCCCCAGAGAGTGCCTCGTAGATGTGTGCTTCAGAACTGTGAGACAGCTGCGTTGCCTTTGAGGCACCTCAGAAATGTCTTCTCAGTGAAAACCTGTTCTCAGGATGTTCATCACAATGAACTGGTATTTTCCATTTGGAGAATCTTCTTATTGTTTTTTCTGTGCCTTTTCCACGAACTCTAAAAGTAGGTCCTTTTAAAAAGAAATCCATTTAGGGCTAGAAAGAAAATGACTGAATTGCTTTGCCTGACATCATTCAAATGACACTTGTGGCTGTCTGTCACGAGTGCACCCCTTCTAAAGATTAAAGCAAATAAAAGTGACTTTGGGCTAGTAATGACTTTTGGGCTAGTACGGTGTGATAGTATTAGACAATGGTAATCTTATGATAGCTCACTTCTATAGACTCCTCTAACTTGATTAATTTAATTTCCTTTTTATTTATCTGGACACAGACTTAGCAAATTAGGTTTGCCAAAGTTAAAGAAGTTCTTCAAAAGGACTTCTACTTGAAGTTCAAAGATAACAGGTGACCAAGAGCAAAAATGCAATGCAGATTAAAAATTTGAGGAGGGCATTCTAGTCTAAAGCCTCACCTTATACCTGGAGACAGAAGACTAAATAAAACAGAGGTCACTGGAATGGTAGACCAAGAAAAATCTACCTTTAAGCAAGTAGCGCATTTTAATAGGATGGATTCTAGTCTAGTGCCTTCCACTTTTTAATGTGCACAGGACTCGCCTAAGGGTTTGTTCAAGCACAGACGTTAGGGACGTTAGGGACGTCCCCTTCCCGCAGGTTCTCAGCTGACATCTGCTAGTCTGCAGACCTCATTCTGAGTGACCAGGTGCTAGCAGACAGCTTCCTGCTTGTACAGAGGCATTAGTTCACTCTGCTGTACTTTAATCTTTAGGAAACGTGGAGTGCATAGCCATTTGATGCTGATGAACAAGGTATTGGAAGAACAGAAAGGCAGTGAGCTAATAACCCCAAAGAGCCGGACGCAGCCCAGCAAATAGCGTCCATTGCTTCCTGTGCCATTTGCAGACTTTCTAAACTGCACTTGAGCCTCATATTTGGATGATGGATTTGAATATATAGAGTAAGCATATATAATAAGTCACACACAACAATTCCATGTGCACTATCATGGGATTCCTAAAGGCACAGGAAAATACATGATGAGTGTACCATTATCCAGTGTTAAAGGCTATAGTCATGGATTAGAATTATAACGCTTTAGCATGTTGAATGGCTTTCCCGAGGTCTCGTAGTGTACTGCATTGTAATTAAAATATGTGACCTTGGTTCTCCCCTCCTAACAATATCATGCTGCTTCTTGGAAATGGAGCATTGACCACATCCAGAGAGACATCAGTGTGAATTTTGATGCCTGGGTAAGAGGATTACAGTCTTTCTAGGCCAGAACCCCAGTGCGTGTGTGTGCGCATGTGTGTGTGCACATGCGTGTGTGGAGAAGGAGGGCAATGGAAGTATGGGTATGTCTCTGTCAGGACCTCAAAACATTGAATTCTGCACTCTGCTAGGAATGTTTAGGAAGCCTAGAGAAGATAAAAATTAAATGACACAGGCAACCGTGGTCAAAATCAAGGATATAGTACTTGGCCATGGAAACAAACAGGGGCAGTGACTAAAAGGAATAAACTAAAAATAAAAATTCTAATACTTCACTATTGATTGAGCAGAAAGGTTATAGATAGGTGGGTGTTTAAAAATGATTTCATATTTCTAAGTTCTCTCTTTCTGTCTCTATGGAAGCAATTAAACTCAGATGCTTGATGGTAAGGTCAGGTGAGGATTAAACCTTGGCTTCACCTATTAACACCATGACCCTGATATGTGATTTATAGTCTTTGACCCTCTCACAGAGTTTATAGAAAATGATGAGAGAATCAGTCTAAAATGCTCAGTACACTTCTTGATCCCAACTAGCGAGGACATAGAATCTGGATCTGTGAAGAACAATGGTGGCATAATTTGCAAAAGGTTTTGAATCTGTTCTTGAAACGGGTGGACTGGCAAGAGCAAGGTGCAGCAGCTGCCTTGAGCATGATTCTCTGTGCAGTGCAGCTCGCAGAGGACGCATGAGGTCTGTGGAATGCTAGGGTTGGATTTCTAACTGGGCGGATTCAGAGAACCAGCTGGGTTCAGCGGTTAGGGTTAAGAGTTACAGGGAGAGGAGTGTGAACAGTACCAAAGGCAAACTACATGTAGTCCTCCTTTGCCTTGAGGTGGCTTCCATGACTTTGAAATCCTGACTGCTGCATCAGGAAGTCAAGGGGTAGACACAAACACCTAAGAAAGGAGGCAGTATATGCAATTTAATAATAAGGCAACCATGTGAAGACTGAGTAAGCTTAGGAGAATGAGGAAGTCGTGAAGACTTTGGGCAGACCAAGTGTGGAGCACAGATTCCAAGTAGAAAGCATGCAGAAAATCTAGTAGATAGAGGAAGTAGTGTAAAATTATTGTCCAGTAGTCAGACAACTGTCAAATCTAGGAAACTTACAGCAACTGAGGAGCAAAAAGCTGGCAGAAAAACAAATATGGGACATCAGTAATGGATTCTGATACTGAATGTACTGACATCGAGCCGACCAAAGAATTTTGTTTCAGGTCTCATTCCGGATGTGTTGATCGCAGACATGATCTCAGTGAAAGGCTGCAGCTGGTGTAACTGAAGTTGTGCCTGCTGACAGCACCAGGCCAGGAAGTCTCACCTCTCCAGCAGCGAGATTCTGTTACTGCTCTATTACTGTCAAACGCTGGTGGTCAGGTTTCTGCTTCCTTATCTATGATTATATCCTTCAGTAACGGATAACGGTGCAATCTGCTGCCTAGCTTAGCCCCTCAAATTCTAGGTTGGTTTTAGTATTGTGTAGGTCCTGGGCATGGAGTTATAGTGACTATCTGTATTGACTTCACAAAGGAGTATAGAGAAGGAGAAGACGGAGGTGTAGGAGCAGAAGGAAGGAAAAATGAAGCAGAAAATAAAAGTGAGAAGAGGGACAGGAAGTCTCACAATTTGGGATTGTGGCCAGGATATCAAACATTTTGCTCATTCTGGGTGGCTGTAGAGATGAGTAACTGCCTAGGGTTTGTTCTTGTGCAGCATTTACTGGAGGGATATTCATTCTCTCTCTCTCTCTCTCTCTCTCTCTCTCTCTCTCTCTCTCTCTCTCTCTCTCTCTCTTTCCATCTCTCTATTTCTGTCTCTCTTTCTCTCTCTATATATGTATATGTATGTGTGTATGTGGTGACTTCATGCTTAACTGGATATTACCAGCTTATTTTTTTCCTCTTAAGAGAAGTCAGTTTCTTAAGTAGGAGATATTTCTGAACCTGAGGAAGAAAGACTTTTCTCAGTTTCCACTGGTGGTATATACATGAAAGACAACTGAGAAAGTATCACTTGAGAAAAGTATTGCAGAGCAAGATTTATTCAAGATTCAAAATATATCCGGTGCTTTATCGAGTGGAGAGATAAATGTAGTCCCTGAAGACATAGCTTGTGAACATGAGAATTGACTGAGAAGAGCTAATTTACTATTTGTCAAAGGGAAATGGATTGAGAAGAGTGATTGCAGCGAAACGTTTAAACAGAACGAGTGTCACAACTTTGTATTGAATTTGGGGAGATTTGGGGGGATTTATCAATCATTTTGTGGCATTGTACAGTGTTACAAGATTTGGGAGTTTGTGAAACATCATTCTGAAATTGCCCCAAGCTAGAGTTCTTTCTCTATTTTTGTCAAGAGCCCTGGGCACAAGTTTATGAATCCTGAGTGATGTATTAGCTAAAACTCTTCTGATTGCAAGTTACAGAAGTAAACTTTAGTTAGGAGAAAAGGGAATCTAGTGTACAAGGAAAAGAAAGCCCTAGAGAACCTCAGGACAGGAAGTCAGCTGGGCCCAGGTCTTGGGGCTCAGTTCTGGAGAGCCTCAAGCCTGTCCCTTTTGGGGCTACTTCTTTGGGTGCTCTCTGCCCTTCTTGACCTCCACAGACCTGCACTTTAAGTTGAATTAAGCTTCCCACAGCTAGCCATTGGCGTTAAATGCCGGTCTCCCAGAGTAACTGCGGAGTAGCTGAATGGCTGTGTCTCATTTGGGGGGAACCTGCCTGCTGCCCACCTGGTTCCGTGCTGCGTGATTTGCTCATGACCTCTGAGGGTGGCTCTGTGGGCGTGGGGCACAGGGACAGTTTCACAGCAGGAAATTGTCACAGGGTTGCTGATTGGTGGGCCATCTCGCCCGCCATGCCTGGGATGGTGCAGGGCGTGGGCAGCCTGCGACAGACGTTATTCCAGTGAAATGCCGTCGGCCAGTGCACTGCCACGGGTGGAAGAATCGGGTGGCGAAAATGAAGGCTTTCTGCACTTCGACTGTCATGATAATGAATTTATCTGTGTTGTGGTGCTGGGGACTGCACCCTCTACGCAGTGGTACATCTCTATAGCTTGACTGTTGTCATCAGAAAGCAGCTAATTGATTATGCTAATTATTGTTTTAATTTCACACTGGAGTCGTACTAGTTAGTTAAAATCAGTTTATTTCCAGACTGTTTTTAAACATTTGTAAAATCTTTTTACAATTTTAAAATTATGATTTTTTTTTGTGAGAACATTTGGGTAACGCAAGAATGCTCATATTTATTCATTTTAATAATATTTTTGTTTCTTTATTTTTTAAAACAAACTTGTGATTCATGAAGACTAAGCCTGGAGTGATTCGCCCGGCACCTATAAAATCCAGAATATTACTGAGAAAAGAAGAAGAAGTCTGCGAGCCCAACCCTTTCAGTAAATACCTGGACGATGACGGCGGCCTCTTCTCTGAGCAGGTGAGCGAAGACTGGATACTGTGAAAAATGCCTATAGAAAATGTCCCTATTAATATACTATGTATAAGAGAATGTGTATTGATTAGCATATCTTTGGTAATACAAATCATTTCTGCATAAGAAATAAAAATTCTTACACAATTCTAGGGTGATATTTTTAAGAATCTTAATTTTTTTTCTGAAAAATGTCTACCTAAAGTAGGATTGTTTGTGGAACTGACATTCGTCTCTGTGATTAATCTCTTATTAAATCACAAGGTGCGTGGGTCGCATAGGTACCACGTCTTCATTTCTAAAATGTTCTTTTATTGGAAGACATGAAGTGTTTAGCTTTGGGGTATTAGAGCTGATGAAGGTGCTGCTGTTTAGAATCAGATTAGCAGTGCAGTTGCCTAGGTTGAGCAGTGCCAGTTATAGGGGAGGGGCTCACGTCACTTTAATGATTTCTTGTCATTTTCTGTGTGTGTGAAAATGTATACTCTGCTCCCTTCTAAATGTTGTACATTGGGCTTTTAAGAGATCTGGAAAAATATGACAATATATATGCAATATAAAACTTCATAAATGATATCAAAGTGAAATTTTAGATCTTTATTTTACTAAAATACAATAAATAGGAATGCGTTATACATTTTTATATCTTAAGCATTATCAAGCCGTGTAAGCTAAATAAGATACACATGATGGAGGATATTCAGATGAGCAATGTATGATATCCAGAAACTTTTCCTAATAAAATCAGGATGTGTAAAGTGATCGCATATAATAATCTGCAATAAAACAGATTTATGAAGGAAAACAAAGATGATGTGTTCTTTTGAAAATTTTAACTATGACAGCATTCTTTTTTTATAACTGCATTCTTGAAATATGAATTACATTTATATCTGTGCAGTTTTATCTGCCACATTTGAATCCAGGCAAGTTGTTTCATCTCTGTAGGCTTCAATTCCTTAAGGTATGAAATGAAGTGTTCAGATCAGAGACTGTTTAAACTGTAAAATTTGAGTTACCTTATGATTAACCTTGATGGATCTGAAATCCCCGGTATTCTTTTTCCTTCCTGGTATTCTTTAAGAAGTTCATTATAAATATGTTCTTACAACTTGCTATATATTTTATTTATAAAATGAAGACTAAGTGAACTATAGTCGTGCATACTTCTAGTCCCAGATACTCAGGAAGCTGAGGCAGGTGGATCACTTGAGTTCACAAGTTGAAAACCAGCCTGGGAAACATAGCCAGACTCTGTCTCTAAATCATTCAAGCAATTAATCAATAGATTGATCAAAATGGAGATGAAAATATTTCCCATTTTTATATATTTTACGGGACTGCTAGGATTTTTGATGTCTTACATTTTAAGAATGCACTTAGAGGCAACTGTGGAACAAAGCGCAGTCCTCAAATTAGAGACATCTTACTGATATATAAACTATCTTCGTCAGTTGACAAATAACAGAAAGAAAAATTCCTATTAGCAAGGCATATTTCATCGTCAATAAAACATTTAGGAAATATCTATTGTTTGCATGGTACTGACATTTCAGAAGCTTACTGTGAAGTTTTAGACAGCATGGGATCACTTTAAAAAGCTTGTAAAAATAACCCAGTATTTATTTGAAAAACAAACTGCCAACAGTTAGAATAAATTTCAGATATTATCCGTGTAACTTATATTCCTCAAAATATGATCTGACTTATAATACCATAATTCTCTTGTATATTTTTAAATTTGTGCAGTTTATTTCAAGCAAATATTCTTCTAAATATCAAGTTAATATACCTTAATTTATCATTGTTAATTCTCTTGTGGAATGATGAATTCCATTTCTAAGTGCAGGAAATTCTTGTGATTAAAAATAATTGCCATTTCTCTTCATTGTGTTTCCTGATTCTACAGATTTAACACTCTGTTTATGTTACCACGCACACCTATTTATTTTAAGATAATTTTTGAAAATATCACTGTTGTGCTAATATTGTGGTAGAAGGCCATAGACATAATCTTACTAATATTTTCCTTCAACCAACTTACTTGTCTGTATCCTCACTTGAGTGGTTTATAGAAGGAGACTGCTGACAGGAAGAATTGAAGTCTAACATACTACTTAGCAGTGAATTGCAAAGGCCCAAATCTTATTTATTGACCTTGTATAGGAGGGAAAACTGTGAGAGAACCCTGGGGCCCACATGCCCAGGAAAGTGTGTAGACCACCATATCAAATGTCTTTTTTACACTGAACTCTACCATTTAATTGTTTCCAGAATGTGTAATGGAAGCAGTCATCAAAGACAGCTCACAGATAGGGATACTGAGCTGTACTTAACAATATAAGTTGAGTAATAACAATTCATAATCTCAGCGTTGCTGCTGCATCAGAACTTCAATAGAAGAAAGCGTATTCAAGTTCAGTTCTAGTTACTACTGTGTTCTCGGTACACTCCTGCCGCAGAATACATTGAATGTTTCCAAACTTGGTTGTTCTTCCCCACCCATGTAATAGAAAAGTTTTAGCCAGACGGTTGGGCTAAATTGTAGTAACTCCTACTTGCTAAGCTGCCTTGCACTGGGACAGTTTCCACCTGACAAGATGTTGGAGGGGGTTGTTAATATATTTTCCCTCGCACATTCACTGCCATAAAATGTGATTTCAAAATGTCAGATGCTAAGGATGGTGCGACTAGACAGAGACGTATTTGTTGTAGCTCCAAAAGGGACAGCTGAGCAGCTCTATGAATCATTGTGGACTGAACATTTGCCTGGAAACAGCCTCTCAGCACTAAAAGCAAAGTTGGAACCAAATGTATAATCAAGTAATTGAGACTTATTATTTAACAACTTCTGCATCAAAATGGCATAGGCCAGGAAGTATCATTCCACAGCAGATGGATTTTTAACAAAAACCCTTCTGAATGCAGCTATGCTTCTCTGAAATTATCTCCAACCCATCGTGGTATCAATTTGTGCTCCTTTGCGGCACTACAGAACGTTTTCACACTCTGCCCCAAATACACGGATTCAGAAAGGATTTGCTTTGAAACGTGCTTCGATGCATATTTAAGGGCAGAGTTGGAAAATAATAGAATTGTTTGGACAAATGGGCACCCATTTAGAACACACAGAGCTTTTGGAAAATCAGTTCACAGATGAAAATGAAAATACTAGCGAGCAAAATTATTTTTAGTTTATCTTACTTGTGAGGCATAAGATACATTGGTTACTTTCTGATCGTTTTGTGTGTCTAATTAGATAAAGGTGATTTTTTCACTGATGATTTTCCTTTTAAGAAAAGCAGTTGTTAACTTCAGTTATATAAATTACTATGTAAAATATTCCTTTCATAAATGCATAATTCAACCCATGATGGGACCTATTTATTGCCTTCTTATAGTCTTAGACCCTGAAGAAAAAAGAAGGTGCATTGAATTCAAGGAACAATATTGTTGTTTCGTCTAATTCGCCCAGAAATACTTGTCTTTGTTTTTCAGCTTCGTAGGAAATCGTGATTCCTAGCATGTGTGCCTCTTAAGCTGTATTTTCCTTCTAATTTGTTTTAGCAGAGGAGAGAGAAAGTTTTGTATTGAGATGACCATTTGGAGAGCTCACTCCACACCATTCACAGAGAACATAAAAGGATAATTATAAGGAATTTCCTTCACTGTAAACTTTTCAGTCTTTTTTTTTTCTGATTTCTTCTTAGACAACCACCTTACTTCTTTTCCCTGCCAAATTCTTTGACGCTCAGTTTTGATGGTTCTGTGAGTGACTTTTGATTTGTATCTAACAGTTCATTTTCATTCTACAATTCATCAAGTAGTATTTCCACTGAGACCTTGGACTTCCTTGCCTCAGGCTGCCCAGGCCTTCCCATTGCAGGCGAACACCTTGTGACAGCTGAAAGGACAGTGCTGCCTCTTACTCCCATGACTCTGCCCCAAAGCACCACTTTTTAAACCTTGTTTTTCAACCAAGTTGGTTCATCCCTTGTTCCATGAGCGTATCTGTTATCAGTGCTAATCTTTGACCAAATGTTATATTTCAGGTGAAATGTTTATGTGAAACTTCTTAGGTCTAGAAGTCATTTAGCAGCTCACTGAGTTCTTTTAAGGAGAAGAAACTGACATTTCCTTAGTGTTGCATTCCTCTGGGAAGCTTTGAGATCAGACTTGGCTTCTTCAAGTTTTACCACGCAGTTTTTCAAGTAATGCAATCCCTGTGGTTTTTTCCTCCCTCCCCACCTCCATTCCTTCCTCCCTCCATCGCCCCCTCCCTTCCTCCCTTTCTCCCTCTGTCTTTCCATATGTAAGAGGTAGTAGCTTATCATCAGCAGGTTATGCACCATGTGGAATAGATAACATCCTCAACACAAGAAGCTGATTTCTTTATTTGTGTTTTTAAATTGTTCTTTGGAGACAGTATTTGCTTTTTTCTCCAGGATATAATTAGGTAGGCTCACTTCTTCATACTCAGAATTTCATGACTTTTTTTTTAACTTTCTCCTGAGTTAGTATGCACATCAAAGTTGGAACTAAACTTCGCAGTTTTTTTGCGTTGTCTGCCTTACTGAGGGAGATTTTTTTCCTGCCCCCGTTTATCTGCTTTATGTAGGGTAAGCATTTTAGAGACTTACTTGCTGTAAAAAAAGCAAACACAAAAGGAAGGCCCATTGGCCATTTCTGTCACAGTGGTTCCCAAAGCGTTAGTTGTCTGACAGTAATTGTGGATGTGTAGTGCCTGACAGCATCTCGGTCAACTGGGAAATGATGTTTGAAAGTCCAGTGAAGATCTGTCCTCAGGGTTAACTCATGATAGTCCTATATATCTCTATTCAAGAGAGATTGATCATTGCCGTATTACACAGAATACACTCGGGCTTCAAAATAAGACCTCACTAAAATAGAATTTACTAATTCTACCTCGGTTTTTAATCCTAAAAGTATCACCAAAATTTCCAAAGAAAGTGAGCAATTCTGCAAAAATCATTTTAATCTCGGTG